GAGCAGAGTACACAAATGTTTCAGGATTTGGGGAATGTGGCTGTGCAAACAGATGCGTTGAGCCCGCTTGCTCTTTTCAACGAGCAGAGTACACAGACGTTTCAGGATTTGGGGAATGTGGCTGTGCAAACTGATGCATTGATCCCGCTTGCTCTTTTCAACGAGCAGAGTACACAGACGTTTCAGGATTTGGGGAATGTGGCTGTGCAAACAGATGCATTGAGCCCGCTTGCTCTTTTCAACGAGCAGAGTACACAAACTTTTGTGGGAAGGAACCAAACGTTGTCTATGAATCCGGGATCTGTAGCTGGAATGAAGGGTCGGATGTCACTCCATTCACGGGCAAAGGCGCCTTCAGTGACATATGAGTATGGACTTGTGACTCCCACTTCCATTTGTTATGTTAGCGGAGCAGAAGCTATAGCACTTGCCATTTATGCTGTCGGGCAGTGGGTTGAGAACGTTAAATTAGATATCCATGCCTCAGATTATGTTTTTGTGGGTTTAAACGTGGATGGGTGGTGGCAATGGCGGCGACAGGCCCTGGAACAACTAGATGCCGCCTCCTATGTTGTCAGAGCCTACAACGATGGTACAGATCCATTGTGGTGGTGTGGGGTGTTGACTTCTGCTCTTTTGGATTTGGACATGGAACGTAATATGTCAGTTAGTGATTTCCTTGTGGTCAGCTGTGGTTGTCATGTGGGTGCAGAAACAGCCTGCACTCCGATTACCATTAATGAGATGGTGACGGTTTTGGAAACAATTCCAAACTGTTGCTTGCTGATGGCGAAAAAAGACTCGGTCGTTGGTGATCGCCTTGCGCTTGTACTGAAGGTTTCTGTACTTGAGAATGAGACGCCATTTTATATTGTGAGACCCAGTGATGATGCTGAAAAGGCCGAGGGAACCGTTGGACTAGACGCTATGCGCATGTTAATAGGCGAGTGGCGTTCTAGCGGTGAATTATTGATCGAGTTTGATTCCTTTCGAGCAGTAAGATGCTTCTCATCGGATACGAATCCAGAGATTCGGTGGATGGACGTCGTTGAAGAGCACTTTACGTCTGTGTCAGTGTCACTGCCAGCGGAGGCTTCGCTGGCGCGGGACACCATGCATGCCAGACTGTTGGATGTCACAACCTCTCTCTGGTGGCCAATAAGACTAATTTTTCGTCGAGGACAAGAAGTTGATGTTTTTTAGTCCTCTGCTGGAGCGTGCTGCCTCCGTGATTGTTGTACTAAACGCCGATGCAGCCACAGTTCGCTGCCTTGGCATCCTGCAAAGTTTGCCAGGGGAGTTTGGGCATCCAGGAAGACCAAAGGCGGTGATTGTTCAAGTTGATGGACAAGAAGTTTGTACAAGTCGCCTCACTTTGAACGCGGCGTTGGAGGGCGAGACAGCACTGAGAGAGGGGGCCACGTCTCTGTCCGCCCACTTCGAAGAACCTGAACCGGCTGCCAGCGCCAAGGATGCTGAGGAGTGTTGCAATTTGATTGGTGGCCACAGGAGCGAGAGCTGTAAGGCTTTTGAGGAAGTCTTCTCACAGCATTTGATTACTGCATCTGAGGTGGACGCGCTTTTCCAGGTGTTTCACAGGACGATGGCATTTCATATGGAGCTTATGATGAATTACATGGACCTTGTTTTCCAACTCCTGTTCTCTGTTATGTGGTTATTGTTGCCCTGCCTAAACGGGACGAGCCGTGCCGTTGCGACGCTACCACTGTTGAGCGCTACCATTGCTCGGCAGCATGTGGAGCTTTCTACTATGCAAGCTCGAAACACCTTTGTGAGTAATTTCTTGTATAGCGCTGTGACTGCCTTGAATGTAACCAGGACTATGCTTACCGGCTTGGAGGAGAAGAATAGCATTCTTCGGGCTGAATTGGCACAGTATGCATCGGTTTGTGAAGAATTGCGTCAGGAAATTCTTGTCAAGGATGAGCAGTTGGCCGGGGCCGCGGGGTACTGCGCTGCCGTTGAGGAACAGCTGCGTCTCGCCTTAAATTCCTTCCTGGAACTTCGAAGTTCCGCCGAAGAGATGCAAAGAGAACACTTTGTGGAGGTCCCTAAAGCGACCAGGAACCGAGGCCCGATGGGCCCCCACGCGGAGTGCTTCTCCTCGTCCTCACAAAGGGGTGGTCCATCGTAATAAGGAGGCGAACGAAAAAAAAGACAACGAAATGAATTTACCTGTATATATATATATATATATATATACACATCTATCGTATTATGGGTCTGCTGTTATTGGTTTTTACGTGTGATTTTTTTTTATTTTTTTTCTGCATGCGGATGATTCCTCTGATTGTGTTACGTTTGCGGAGGGCTGTGATGTTTTCCCTCATTGTTTTATGTTTTTGCTCTTTTGCTCTTGTGTGTTTTTTTTTGTTTTTGGTGTGTTCATTAGCTCAGCACCGGGAAGGTGGTGGGGTAGCAGTGCATGGCGTCTTCCTGTTCTTCCCTCAGCTCCTCCGCTAGCTCCTCCCCCTTGGTCGACGAGAGCGGTGTTGTAAACAAGGTTGTGGCTTCGCTGCAAACGCAGCTGCGACGGCAACAGGAGCTTTTTATTCGGGTAAAAAAGTGCGAAGAGGAGATAGAGAAATTGAAACTAGGCTCGTTACACACGGCATGTGGGGGCCTCTTACCTCCACCAGAGGCCCAAAAAGACAGTGGGTGGAAGGCTGAGTGCGAGGAAGGCGCTATGAACGTTGGGGCGGAAAAGATGTGCGATTACTGTTTCAAGTTGGCACCCTGCAGGCCGTGCCCAGCGTGTGAGCACGAGTGGTACTGCAGTAGTCCTTGTCAACGGCTGCGGACCCATGTGCACCGTTCGTTCTGTCGGCATCGAAGGCGGGTGAAATGAATAATTAGCAGTTATGTATGTATGTACATAATTTTCGTTGTGTGTTGGAGTTGCGTGCGATGGCCCCTTTTTTTTGTTGTTCTCTCGCGTGGCGCATTTTTTGCGTGGTATATGTCTAGCATCACCCTCGTCGTATGTTGGTTGTTGCCGTCTCCGCTCTTGTGAAGTAGGACTCCCAAAGAAGATAAAAAGGAGAGATCAACAGGAAAAGAGAGGGATAGGGGGAGAGGAAGAAGACGAAAAATAAAAGAGAGGGAAAAATAGGTGTCAGATACATGGACCAGTTGCGCCACCTCGCCCTTAGTCTTTCGGACCCAAATTTGTGGGAGGCGCGGGAGGCACGCCTGGAATTGGCTCGCTTCATGGAGCCTGAAAATCTTTTCAATATGTGGCTTCAAGGCGAACAAGAGACAGCGGAGACGCTTCTCCGTGAGGCAGAGGCCGTTGGAAGCCCCGAAGTTTACGCTGCTCTTGGCAACGCCTTTAAGCGGCTTTTTGATACGAGTGCGGGCAGAGCAGCTGCAGAGGAGTTCCTCCGGTTGGACACCTCGCACATTGTCACACGTTTTCTTGTGAATGGCGTGGCGCACGAGGATCTCTACAGAGCAGCAAGTGTGCGACCGGCATTGATTAGCGTGATGGCTATACTACCATCTGATTTAGCACCGCGTGTGGGAGAGTTGTTTTCAGCCTCTCTGCAGAACGAGCGGGTTCTGCGCTTGTTTGACGAGAATAAACCTGAATCTCCAGAGAATGAAATAGTGTGCCAATTCCTGCTCCATTACACCGTGTTGATTTCGTTTATAACCTCAACGACAGTAGACGCGTTTGAACACGACCCGCTTCTTGTGGCCAACTACCTAATGATTAGCTGTATTATTTCTAGGCATGTGGTGATACCACCAGAGTTGCTTGAAAAAATTGATAGGGCGCTCACGGAATACAAGAATACGTTTGTCTTCTGCTTTGTATGCCGCGCATGTGCTACGGCCCTTCAACATCATGAAGTTAACGCCACAAGGTACGCGTCTTCGTGGGGAGTGAAAGCTGCCCTTTCCTTGTCGCAATGTGACGACAACACTCGAGGTGCCGTTTATGGTATTCTTGCCGCCACAAGCACCACTGCCGCTGGATGGAGTAGTGTGTTTCCGTGTGTGCCCATAAATGAGGAGATCATTCGCGCATTGCGCGTTACCGCGCTCCGCCCAGAGACCCTGGGCTTAATGGATATACTCGCACAATCTCCACATGTCCCAGACTCATTTTTTAGTTCCTCACTATTGCAAGCTGCATGGCAGTTACACAGGGATGCTAATGATGTTACCCGAGAGAATTTGTGGAGTTTTATTAGCGATGGCCTGACGCGAGACAACATTGTGCTGTCGTTGGCAACTTTATGTGCCTCATTTTTGTGTTCCCTACCGCATGAAGTTAGCGTAAAGGTACGTGAGTTGCAGCTTCGGGTTGCTGATTTTCTTGTTAAGAGAGGAGGTCTTTCCCAGGAGGTGGTACAAGGTCTAAAACAGTTTTCTTCACGTGGACTTTATCCGCCCACATCTGTCGGTGCGGAGGCGCTTGCACCGCGTTAAAAGTGTGTAGTGGATCTATTTTTATTCTCTTTTCTTATTGTTGCCGCTCTGTGGGAAAGGGGTGATGGCTCCTTTGCGGTGCGGCCGAGAACGGAAACGAGGATGAGCACGAGGGCACCCTTCTTCTTCTTCTGTCTTAGGATGCATGCAAAATCATCTTTCTGTCGTGCTTCTCTATTTTCTTTTCCTTTTTATTTTATTTCTTTTTTGTTGCTGTTGCTATGGAAGGGGGTTTGGGTAGGTGTGAGTGCGTGGTTGCTTCCGTAGGGCCTTATGTCTGTCCGCGAGCGAGCCGTAGTGCTTATTGATGGTCCGGCCATAGTGCATCGCTGGTATCACCGCTGGAGCTACACTAGTAAAAAGACCCCAGTGGACGTGAAGCGGTTCACCATCACGAACGCACGACACATGATTGCTACGGCGCACAGCTTTGACCCCAGCCATCTGTTCCAACACCTCCTCTCCCCGCAGGTAGAGTACGCCCACACCCCGAAACACAACAAAATCATCGTTTGCTTTGATCAGGGGGACGGCGGACGGCGCGAGATTTATCCACAGTACAAGGAGAACCGCGAGAAACGTGACTATGAGGCGGAGCTCTCTGTGATTAAGAAAGTCGCGACGAAGGTGTTCACTGGAGAGCCCAAAAACACACTCCTTGTTCTTCCAGACTTTGACGCCAAACTCAAAGATGTGGACGCAGAGGCGGATGACATGATTTCCACCCTAGCGCTGCACAACCAGCAGCTTAAGATACCCACTGTGGTTATGTCGCACGACTACGACCTTTACCAACTTATAGACGAGGCAAATAAGTGCTACCACTACGATATACGCACAAAGCATTTGGTATCTGAAAAGGGTGTCATTGAGCGTCTCGGGGTACACCCGAAACTTGTTCGCGACTACAAGTCTCTTGCCGGTGATTCTTCAGACAACATTCCTGGTGTGAAGGGCATAGGAAAGACCCGCGCACTACAGTTGCTTAAAAAATACGGCGATTTAGATGGTGTTCTTACAAAAGGCAGTAAAAAGCAAGGTGGGCATTTAGGAGACTTGTTGCGTGCCGGTTTGGCTGACGCGGAGCTATCGCGAAAACTGGTTGAGCTGCGAAACTGTCCCAAGGTACTGAGGGCCTGTGAGGCTTTTATGAAGCTGTAGTCTGCGGGAGCGCGAGGGGAAGAAGAGTGGCACTTCCTGCTTGGTGCCTGTTGTGTACTGGAGGGAGGCACGGCGATAAAATAGCCCTCTCCATTCCCACAAAAGAAAATCAGGAAGAGGAAAGAAAGGAAAAAAGGCGGGACAATTCGCTTCCGAAGCACGTATTCCGCAGGTTTCTTTGTTATTTTGTTGTTCACTTTTTTTTTTCTTTTTTGTATTTTTTAAAGCGCTGTGCCTTTTTTTTTGTTTCGTGGGTGTGCGCCCGTACTTGTAACTGTCCTGCCTTTGTGCCACGTATAGAGAGCCGCGCCACACGTGGGGGGTGGCGAATGAGGTGCGGCAGCGCCCCGCCCGCACCCCCAACGCCATAAGTAACATTAAAGCAAAAAAAAAAAACATAAAAACGAAGGGTGAGGAGAGTGCGAGAAGGCGAGCGAGCCCGTGGAAGCAAAAATATAAAAGAATGGCAGCACCTGCGGAAGCGAGGAGTCTGTGCAAACGCCCAAAGTGCTTATTTGCATCCGCATGCATTTTCTGCTTCAGCAAAAGGAATCTGCAACGTATAGAAAAAGAAAAAAAAGACAGATAAATAGATATATATATATAGAGAGAAGGTTGGGGGCATCAAACACAAAGGACATCAAAAAGAGCCACACAAAAGAAGAGAGAAAAGAACAACAACAACCACGTGTCGCTTCTGCTTCCTATTTTGGTGGGAGCGCAGACGCATTCATCGTTTCCCGTCGTGATCTCGCTGTTCTACTGAGCACCGCATATCCTCTCTCCTCGTCACATGTAACCGTTTTTTTTTTTTGTGTGTATGCATGTGGGGCCTTATTCATTTTTTCTTTACCGCTTCCCGGTCGCTTGATGGGTGCGAGGGAGCGGAGGAGGTAAGGAAGAGTTGGAGGGGAAAGGGGGAGAGGATAATAAAGTCTTTTTTTTTCTGTTTCTTCTTTTTTTGCGTTCTTTTTTTATCATTTTTATTGTGCTTATTGTGGCTGGCAGTGCAGTGAGGTTTCAGTCACTCCGTGTGTAGAGGGGGTGGACCGTGAAGAAAAGAGGAGCAACGTCCTTTCCAAAAGTTTACCTTGGTGAGTTCCTGCGAGTGTGGGGCGGGAATCGGGGGTGAGAGCTCCGGCACATAACTTGAACAGGAAGGCGAAAACAGGGAAACAAATAAAAATCGCAGAGGACGCGGAGCACGTGAAAGAGTACCTAGCATGCCGCCCATGTTGTCTTCAGAGGATCACGCAAAAGCCAAGGAGTTCAGCATTTTCTTGCGTCACTTGGGTTTCTCAGACTGCCTGCATTTATTTATGGAACAGTGGCAGCAGCTGGTGAAGCAACAAAGTGCTGCAAAATTCATAGGATGGAAGAAAGGCCCCAAGACGACTCGATCTTCTGTGTCGTCACGCCCCCGTAAGAGTTTGTCTTCTGCCACTTTTAACCTTCAAATTCTGCAAACTATGCATCGTGTGGTAACCACCAGCGGTGCGGAAGAAGACTTGTGGGAGCTCTCGGGTGAGGACTACCTTGCACCAGACTTTGAAAAAGGGGCGGGCTTGACCTTGGAGACATACAAGGAGCTTCAAGGCTCTGGGGAGGCGCGGCGTGTGCCAAGCAAGCCATACTTTAAGGAGGCACCACCCTCCAATTTGCCGCTGGACTCCTTTTCTCTTCGCATAGTTTATGAAGTGGGGAAGACGGGGTTTGAGGCTGAAAAGGAGTTTGCCATAACTGCGGATAGGGTAGTTGCGGGAAGGTATCAAATACTGCAATTTCTCGACTCAGCTGTATTCTGTCAGGCCGTGCGCTGCATGGATCTAAAAGAAGACCGAGAAGTTTGCCTCAAAGTAATGCGCAACTCGAAGGATTTCTTTGATCAGAGCCTGGATGAGATCAAACTGCTGAAGCTCATTGACACCGCTGGGAACACGGAGGAGAACTGCGTGGTGAAACTGTATGACTATTTTTACTATAAGGAGCACATGTTTATTGTAACGGAACTGTTGCGTGACAACTTGCACCAATTCAGCAAGTTTAATCGTGAAGAGGAGACAGAATTTTATTTTACCCTTCCTCGATTGCAGGCCATAGCAAAACAGGTTTTAAGGGCGCTGTCGTTTCTGCAAAGTATTGGGATAGTACATTGTGACCTCAAGCCAGAGAATATTCTTATCCGTTCATTTAGTCGATGTGAGGTGAAAATTATTGATTTTGGAAGTAGTTGCTACCTGACGGACAAACTCAGCTCTTACGTGCAGTCTCGTTGCTACCGCGCCCCTGAGGTGATTCTTGGATGCAAGTACGACGGCCGCGTTGATATTTGGTCTTTGGGTGCTATTCTGGTTGAACTAGCGACAGGCGAAATTCTGTTTGAGAACACGTCTTTACCGCAAATGTTAGCGTCCATCTGTGGCGTGTGCGGCCCTTTGCCAGTCTCTATGCTCCACGAAGGGCGCAACACATATCTTTTTGTGACAAAACATGGGGCTTTTTACGAGTACTGGGATAGGAAGGAGCTTGTGTTTCATTTTCCCAATTCAGAAAGCTCGTTAGAACATTTATTTGGACACAACGACCCTTTATACATTGAATTTATTCGCGCATGTCTCACAATTGATTATTGTAAACGACCTACTGCGGATGAGTTACTGCAGCACCCCTTCTTGCAGAAGGACTACGGCAGTGCGCGCAGCTCCCCGCCTCCGCTGAAGCGAAAAGTGCCTAGAGATGACGCGTCTTCAGGCTCTATTGTGACCGCTGAGGTGGAGCCTCCTGTGACCCAGCAAACAGCATAGAGTTCTTTTTTTTTTTCTTTTTTTCATGTATCTTCCTTCCCTTCACCACTTACCCAGCTTGGTTACTTTGGACAACTCTCTTTAAAAAGGATTTTTTTTTTTGATCTATTGAAATTTCCTCCCCCTTTATTTTATTTTGTTTTTGTTGTGCCTATTGGCTGTCGTTTGCGTTTGCCACTCTTCAATACGTACTTCTGTTTGCGCTTCCTTTCCTCCCGTTCTATTTTCCCCTCACTACCGCCGCCGTTGCCATTCATTTGAGTCCTTTCCAGAAGTAATTAATAGAAGGGTTCCTTTTTTTTTTTTTGTCCGAAACGGCGGAAATGAAAAGGAAGAGCGCAGCAAGTAGCAAGTAGCAGCGGAAGCTGCCTGTGTGTGGTGCAACGTGGCGGGTGTGGGGCAGGGGATGTGGTTGTGATGCGGCAGACAGAACGGCCGTTGTCGACCCTTGCGACTCTTTCTATTTGCGTGCATAACTAAAGGGGTCAATGACTCTGTGCAGAGACTGCCGAAAATGAACACTGTACAAGGGTGAAGCGGGAGCCTCTTTCCAAAGAACGGAAACAAAAGGAGGCGGTAGTGGGGGAGAGAACGATTTAGATTGAGGGGGTGCATTTATATGCATCTAACGGCGAAGGGCGAATAGGAAAGTAAGAGGAATGTTAGTAGGAGGTGGATAGAATGGGAAACGAGTGAAGAGAAGGTTGTTATTTTTGTGGAGTATAGTTCAGCTTGATATCCTTTTTGGTTTTTGTTTTTGTTCCGCCAGAGTTTGAGTTTGGGCTTTTTTTTTTTGTTGTTGTTGTGGCAAGACGAAGATGAAAGAAAGGAAACAAAAGGAAAACATGAGAATAATACTTATAAATATGAAAAATAAAAGCGACTCGTGCGTGTATGCCTGGGGATGTGCGGTTAAGTCTTTACCGTCAGCCTTGCAGCACACACATACACATACGCACAAGTACACATACATAAGCATGTCTTCTTTTGCTGCCGTTGTCGCTTTTTGAGTGCGTGTATCGTTGCTTAGGCCGCTGCCTCATTTTTTTTTTTTTTTTTGGTGGTGTTGATGAAGGTGTAAAAGGGAAGAATTGTTTTGTGTTACTGGGAGGTATGGAAGGAGTTGTTGTGCGCATTCGCAGACTGCCAGTTTGTTGTGTGGTCTCTCTCCCTTTCTTTCAGCCTCTGTGTCTCCGTATATGTGTGTACATCACATTCTGGATGCGTGACCGCCAGCTGCCTCTTTCTCTTGGTTTATTTACCGGTCTCTTTCCAAGTTGTGGCTAGCTCACACGAGGGCGTTTGGGTTCCCAGCAGAAGGGGATTGAGGGCGGTGCGCTTGTGTGAGGGAGAGCAAACACACATTGCCAGTGGAGGCATAAGGGAGGTACTGTGTTAAAGGGCACCCAATTCCTACCCACACTCACGCAGCCGCACTGTCAATTTTCAATAGTACTCAGCTACGCACATTAACCCGTGGTATTTGCTATGCAGCAACCACCGCCACCACGCTACGTTTTACAGGTGAGTACTGGCAAATGGCGGAGTCAGCCCCTCTCGCCCGACACTGGGCCAATAAAAGGGGCTGAACACCTACAAAACTCTATGGACTACTTTCTGAAAAGAGCCATGTATGCATCGGTCCGTGCTGCAAATGACGGCAACTGCGCTCAGTGTTTGACTGCTGAGGCACCGAAGGAGTTGGAGTGGTTTGAGACGAGACATTGTCCAAAGTCATCGCGGGGTCCCTCATCTGCTCCGTTAAATGTCAACCCCATCATTGGTCTGTTATCTGGTGTGCCCCTTTACGACATCTGTGACGCTCTCGTTAAGCAAAAGGGTGTGATCTGGAAAAGACAGGAGGACGGGCGTTTACATGGTGCGGCATTGGAGCTTAGCTTTGATGAACTGTACGATGTTTGCAGACAGCTGGTACCTAATATGGTGAGTCGAGAGTACTTGCATCGAATGTTTTACTTGCTTCTTGCCAGCGAAGAAAAAGATGTGTTGCATTTATCTTGCTTTTTTTCCTTTCTTGTCGAGCACGCCTTTCACCCGGCGTTGAATCGCAATGTAGATGCGCTTTTCAAAGCGTTTGATCCGGATGGTACAGGCGTGATCTCTGCGACCACGCTGAAATCCAAAGTTATTTTTGCGTGGGCGGAGCTGAATTTGTTTGGAAGCTTGCGAGTGGAGTGGGAAAAGATGGGCACAGCGCTTGAACTAACGAACGGTGTGGATCTGCGCATCGCAGACGGCGCTCGATTACTCACCCCAAAGGCGGCACGCGCCGTCTTTTGTGCCTCCCGCACGTTGTATACAGTCATGGAGTCTATTGACATGGATGAACCCCATCTCAATAAGTCATCATCGTGAGACCCCATTCATTTAGTTATGTATAATTACTGATCTCAAAGCGATGCAGTTGTCTTCGCAACTTCCGTTTTCTACTTTGTACTCTCTTCCACGGAAGCAGTGAGGGACGGGAAAGCGAAAGCGGGAATTTATTTTTAAAAAAAAACACATGGCTGACTATTTTATTTACTCTCTTAAGGCGCTTTTTCTTTTTTTTTTCCCCATGCGTTTTTACTGTTGAGTTTGGCGTTGTGGGGGGGGGGGACAGTCCAAAATGGAACGGAGGAGTCTGTGAGGGCTGTACATTTGCAGTCATAATCGGCAAACATATTTTGTGTCTCTGCTTCGCAACTTTTCTATTTACTATTACTTTCAGGCAGTGGTTGCCGTGGCTTGCACCCGCACGTGTCGCCCAGGAAGGAGGAAATAACGAAATAACAAGGAAAAAAAAACGTGAGAGTGAAGGAACTAGAAGAGGTGAATTGCACCATGGATAACAGATCTGGACTCACTCCAAAAGAGATTCGGGAGTTGCAGGAGACAACGGTGCTTTCTGAGGCGCAGATTCTTCGACTTCATCAACGATTTAAGATGCTTGACCAGGCTGGCCAAGGAACTATAACGGCAGAGGCCTTCAGTTCTATTGCCTCTGTGGCCTCAAACCCTCTCCTAGGGCGCATATTGGCGGTATTGGATACAACTGGTGATGGAAAAATTGATTTTAGGAAGTTTGCAAAGACGCTGGCGATTTTTTCCCCACAGGCTGATAAGCTGGAGAAACTGCGTTTCACCTACATGATGTACGACTTCGATGGCGACGGCAAGATCAGTAACAAGGACCTCTTTGAAACCCTGAAAATCATGGTGGGGACGAACCTAACGGAGGTTCAGTTGCAGCAGATTGTTGACAAAACGTTCATTGAGGTGGATCTGAACCGTGATGGGTATATTACATTTGATGAATTTGAGAAGTTGACACTTTTGAACAATTTTGGTGATCGCCTCAACCTTTCCTTTTAGTCGAATCCATGCGGCTGTCGTTTTCTTTCATAATCTAACTCTGAAGTATGTGTCTGTGTGTTCTTTGTTTTTGCTTGCAATCTGAACATCATCTGTCAACGCATTGTTCCATCAACGTGTATATACAATGCAAGCAATTCTATTACAATGGCACCGCCCTGTTTATGTGTGTGTAGGTGTCACTGCAGGAAGAGGGGGCTCACTATAGAGCGGCGGGGGATGTACGTGTCACAGAGGCTGGTTGGCCTGAAACATGGAATCAACAAGAATCGTTTATCGTTTTTCCGCGTTATTATTTTTGTTTTTGTCGGTTTACGTTTCTAGTAGTTTTAGTCCTCCTCTCTCGCTCACTTTGTTTGAATGCTACGCGGTAGCCGGCCCCTACTCAAAAAAGGCTGGACGCACAACCCGGGTCGTACCAGACGTGGAGGGAAAAATCTTGCTTGGCGCCCAAAGATTTCGGAGCGCGTGCTCGAGCAGTTTGTGCCCCTAAATCTCGCCTTTCCGCGACGTCACCCGAACTCGTGGCATGAGCTTCAGTTCAACCTGTTGGGGTACATCAAGTGGCCGAAGGAGGTTGGCTTTTACAATGCTGGGGACAACTTTGAGTTGACCCCCGAGGCGATGTTCCGCCTGTATCTGAAGAATCGTGATGAGGCCTTCTGGACACGACTCCACAATGAGAAGGTTGTGGTTCATTTGCTGCCAAAAATAGAGCATGACCCAAAAAAATATATGGAGCACGTACACGACATATTTCGACATCACATTAAAAGATTTGGGTCTGATCACTACATTTACAATGCCGTGATGCAGGCCACTGCGTTTGCCAAGGATCTCCCACGCTGTGAACAGCTCCTTGAAGAAATGCGCTCCATTGGTCTCGAGCCTAACGCACAGACATACGTGAACATGATGCTGGCCGTGCGATTGGCTGGTGCACCGCGTGAAAAGGCGGAAGCCTATTTTAAGGAGGGTGTGAAGACGGATGCATTGAGTGCGGTTATGCGACTTGATACAGAATTTCAGATGTGGATGGATCAACTCGAACGGTTAGGCTCCTTCACAGCAAAGTCAGGCTACCTTTCCGTGAAAGAGGAGGACGCAAAACCAATGCCCCGCGATATGTGGGCGCTTTGGGGATGGCACCGTAGTGAGCCGAAGTTCATTAGTCGAAAGCGCATGATAGATGAACAGGTGCGTAATCGAGTGCGTAGCGGCAGAGAGCTTGTGGGTACGGTCTATTCAAAGGCCCGTCGTCAGCCATGGGCAAAGTACAATGGCATGTTTCCTTTTGATTACAATGGTCCAGCGCGTCGTCGTGGCGTCTCTTTCGAAGACGCTCCCGCTCCCAAGCATAACAAAGAAATCTGCGAAACAGCTTTTTAGGAGTAATTTGCCTGGCGTCTTTTTTTTTTTGGTTTTTTTCTGGTCTTGTATATCGGTGAATGCGGTGCATCAATATTTTTGTTGCAGCAGGGATGCGTGCGTGTGCTTGGGCGTGATTTCGTTTTTCCGAGACTGGCGAAATGAAGTGTGATCTCGAGATGTGACTTTTTTTAATTTTTTCATTCTTTTATTTTTTGGCTTGCCAAAGACGTTGGTTCCCTGCGTGTATATTCTCATTGTCTTTTTCAGATCCTTCCTTGTTTGAGTTGCTAGGAGACGCGAGGCGATGATTAGTGGGGATACCATTCGTGTGAGATTTGTCCTCAGCGGCGCCTGCTACCCGGGGTACTCCGGGCGCCAGCTGCAGATGCAGGTGCCAATTGTCCGGAAAGACGGTTCTCCGATGAAAACGATGGACCTAAAGAGTCAGATACGGAGGGAGTGGCCGAGTGATCTATCGGAGATGCAAGAGACCATTAAGACCATAGAGATGAAGATCCTGCGGACAGGGAAGCTTCTCCCAGATGACACTCCGCTGCGGAGTGTTATCACCACCACGGAGATGCAGGATTGTAGTGTAAGCGCAGGAACGCCTAACCCTCACGATGAAGAACAAAAGTGGCTGCTTATGCATTTGGTTTTTCAGCGGTGCAGCAATGCGTTGAAGCAAGATAAGGGAGATGACAAGGCGACAGTAGGTAGAAAAAAAGAAACGGGCAGCAGCGAAAGCAGGTGTTGTATAATCATGTGAATTGGCGCCTTTCTAATGCGTCGTCACCACACCACAATTTGGGGATTCGGGCAGCATGTAGAACCACCCGCGGAAACAACACGAGATGGCTAAACTACAACAGCGAAACGCGAACGCACAAAATGTGGGGCCGAAGGAGGAAAATAATACGTGGTGAGGTACGCAGAGTCTCATATTTTTGGTCTGTACATGTACTGCTTGCCAGATATATTAGTAGATGTTTGTAGGACTTGTGATTAGTATCACTGTTATTGCCGTCGTCACCGTTGCACATTTTACCTTTTTTTTTTTTTTTTGACTCGCCTTTCGTTCTGTTGCATCACGCCAGTGCTCTGTAGGATGGTTTTTTTTTGTTTTCATAGTTTTGGGTTGTTTGTTTGTTTGTTTGTTTTTCCCTCTTACTTTTTTTTTTTTTCTTGCTCCCTCTGCTGCGTGTGGTTTTTGCTTCCCGCACACACAATTTGCAGCAGCGTCGTGCAGGCGCGCTGAAAAGCGGTGAATGGAGGGAGACGCAGGTGCAAACAAACTCCTCAGGCACCTTCTTCTGTTCATCCGCGTTTTCGCCGCGTCGTCTGTGGCGCCGGAAGGAGGAGATAAAAAAAAAAACACTCCCCCCGCGTTGTGTGTGGACGTATTAGGGTGAGCAGCTGGACACACATCGGCAGGGGTGGGACAAGATGAGGAAAAAACAAAGGAAAAACAGAGCAACAAAAAAAGAAAAAAAAATGAGGCAATGTGCGGATGATGAGCAAAAGGTGGGATTTGCGTACTACAGCCAAAAACAAAACAAAAACAAAAACACGATAAAAATGATGTGCTTTTTTTTTTTTTTTTTTTGAAGCTTGAAACTTTGCCCCTTCTCGCCTATGTCTTTTACCCGCCCACAAGAAGGACAAACGAAAAACAATGTACATGGAGCATATGGGGGTTGTCGTAGCCCAGCAGCTTTTCCCGCCTCCACGCGTTTGCGTTTCGGTGCTCGTCTTTGTATCTTTCTCAGGTCCCTTTTGAGTGCGCTGTGGTCTGCCTTTATTCCTTTTTTATTTATTTATTTTCCTCACTCTTTGCTGCCGTTGTTTGCTGTTTGCGACTGCGCTTTTCCCATGTTCCCCGGTTTCCTTCACAAAGACGAATGGAGGCTGGGGAAAAGACGTGCGACCGCAACGCAGCGATCCTTTCAGCTTTTGAGAAGCGGGAGATGTTAGACACATTGGCGGGGATGATCGCCTCCACCATTGAAGGTGCCAGCGTCGAGGACGTTCATGCGGCTCTGGCGTCCTCTGAGGCGGTGTCGGGGGAATGGCGAGAGTTGGTGGAACACAATATGGAAGCGCGTCAGAAGCAGAATTTCTTTGACGCGGCCTCGAGCATGGACCGAGCTTCCGCGGCACAACAGTCGTTAGTGCCACTAGCACAGATAGAGACGACAACGTGGGAATGCCCAGACTGCGGTGCGCAACAGGAAGTCGTGGACGTGCACAAATCTCTGAGACACAGCAGTACTTCCACTGCAGTTAAGACGTTATCTGACACCACACTAACCGGCTGTCCTGTGTGCGGGAGCGGGGGCCGGAGGGAGGAGGAGTCTGAGGTGGACGTTGACCCTCAATAAAAAGCGGGGCAACGAATGAGGAACGAAGAAGGAGAAGGTCAGAGTTTTGTTTTGTTTTTGATTTTACTTCTTCCTTAATCTGTATATGTCTCTCTCTGTTGTCTTTTAACTATTCTGGTTGTGGTGTTTTTCTCTTTCTGTCTACTTGCTAGATGCGGGTTGCAACAAGGTACACATGTGAGAAATAAAAGGGAGGCTATATATATATATATATGTGTGTGTGTATTGTGTTGCGTCCCAGGTTGTTTTTTTTTTTACTTACTTTTTCAATTTTTTTTCTTTGCTTGCTGTTCCCCCCGCCTTTTATTGCTTTGTTTTTATTGTTTCTTGCTTCTTTGGTGCAGGTTCTAATTTGTCTTCTCTCCCCTTTCTCCCTAGTATATATATATATATATATACTTGTTGTGGACTTTTGGGTTGATTAACGTACCATCTATATTTATTTGCGGAAGGTAGAAACTGAGTTTCATACGTGTTTGTGTGTCTGTGACTACGCAAAGGTGTCTGCAGGGGTGGCACAAAATGACTCCAAGTACTTCGCTAACGTCATCGTTGGGCTCCATTTTTTCTTGGGGTGGGCAGAGTAGCGAGACACTCTTGGAGAAGCGGGCGATGGCTGTCAGCGCAGTTCCGTACGTGAATTGTCTTCCGATTGAGATTTTGCATCGAATCTTCATGGAGGTCATTGAGAACGATAATTACGATTTTTCGTGGATTGGTGTGCTTTCATGTGTTTGTTGGCGGTGGAATTGTGCCTGCAAGCACACTGTTATGTGGGAATTCATCTCGAAAAGGATATTTGTGGCATATCCACTGGTACAGCGTCTACATAGCGCACCGTTAGATCAGTCTGAGATGCAACTGCTGAATCGAATGCGGCGCTTGGGGGCGCCTGAGCAGTTCATCACACAGCACGACATCATGGAGCCTCTCATTGCGCCGACCAATAGAACTGTGCGAGAAGCCATGGAGGAGGTGAAGCATTATTTGAAAAGCCGTAGTTACTATGAATATGTGCAAAGACGACGTGTTTTTGTACTACATATGTTTGTTTCCTGGGCGCTCCTGATGTTTTCATTATTCACGGCTACGACTGTATGCTCAGCGGAGGGACTTGCCCTCGGTGCCTTATCTTCACCAAACATGGCGTTCTTCTTCTTATGGATGACGTATTTTTCTATCATTATTGTTGTTCTTGCCAATGTGGTGATGGAGACTCATTTTGAGCCTAAACCCCTTTTTTGCAGATTGAGAAAAAACAAGCCGCTTATTACTTCCTCTGCCACCAGCATTGCTGTTGGTATTGCCTGCGTCGCCCTTCCAACTCTGCTCGTACAGATCAATTTTAGTCGCAAAGAACGATTTCCATGGCTTATTTGCGGTATCACCCCCATAGCTTCACTTGATATGTGGCAGTTGTATGTTTTGTTGTCTTACATTGTCCCAGACGTAAAACGGCAAATTACCGAGCAGCGAACTGTGTTTAGACCCAAGGCAGTTGTGATGTTTGTGTTATCAAATATTCCCTACGTCTATCCCGCATTATTTGCAGGGACCATATTCTGTATACTGCAGTACGTGGAGTATGGTGGGCGCATATATGTGTTGTTTGCCATTGTCCCTGTGCTGACGAGTCTTGTGGTGCTAACGCTGCTTTTCTTGTTGGATTTTTTTCTTACACGGCATCTGAAGGACCTCGTTACAGGTGGGTGTCTATTTATTATCATGATTTTTCCTCTTTCGCTAATGTGGTGGGAGTTCCGTGGATTCAGCCTCCTTCCCGTGACCATCGCCTCCTTCCTCTTTTACCTTACGCATCTGAGGCTGGTGGCGATGCGAGCCCTACAGGAAATCATAGAAGGAGCGCTTCGTCCCCAAAAACTGCGGCGCCTGCACTGAAGCAGCACCAATAAAAAAAACTGACGAAAGTCGGGAGTAGTCATCCCCTCCCCCTCCCTGCTATTCTCTTTCTTTTTTCAATTTGTGCGGTAGTGAGTGCGTATTTTTCCTGCTTTTGTCTCGACACGGCAGCGAGGAGGAAGCTGCACGAGCGAAAGTGTATACTACATATCAACAACATCCACACAAACCCAACAGTAGGGGCGTCAAAGCTAAGCTTTGGGTATGTGCATGTGAACACTGGATCATCCAAGAAATGGGTAGATGTCTTTTTTGCATGTCCTTTCTTCTGTTGTTAGCACCGAGTAATGTATATTGACAACGCTTGCAGGCTTTCTGTCGTTGTTGCTTTCTCCGTTGCCGTGCCGTTTTGATGATTGCATCCTGTTGTTGCTAACCTTCTCTCTCAGTCGTTTATTGTTTCCCCGCGTTTTTTTTGTTTTTTCGATGCATGACTTGTGTGTTATCCCGGTTTTCTTCACGGTGTGCCTGGCGGGGCAGCAGCGGAGGGGAAGCCAATAGAAGCCTGCGACGAGGCCGCTTGGCGTTTAATGCTGCAGTGGTGGTGCCTAATTATTATTTTTTTTTATTTATTCTGGTGCACTTACCCGCGTGAAGGAGAGTGCGGGCGCACGCTGGGGCCAGCAAACGCAAAGCGAGACATTGCACTAGAGACCCCTACAAGAAGAAAAAGAAACAACGGCGGAATAATGTCAATTTGCTGCGGCACCCTCGATGAGGGGACGGTGCCGGACCTCAAGCTGCTACGTGTGCAGCTTCAACACATGCGATCGTTTGATTCACACACTACGACTTTTACCTCCGGTCGTGAGGCACAGCGTGGCGCTCTCGTGCCGCAGTCTGCTGGCGGCACCGCTGCGGTTTCACCGGTAAGTTGTGCGTTGTCTCGTGCTCAAGAGAAGTGGGACCCGAATGAAGGCATGCTGCGACAGTTGGAGTCACGTCTACGACGCTACCAGGAGAAAGGTGTGAAGAGGCGTGGGGACTTGGTGCTCGCCATGGAAAAAGCGCACACACACATGGAACTGGCTCAGACTTGTACCACGCAGTTCAAAGTTGATGGGGAAGAGCATCTTCAGGCGCTGCGACGATTACTTGCCGACACCAAGAGCGCTGCTGAGTGTGTTCTGAACCGCCCTGAGATCGTTATCAGCGAAACGGCCAAAACTATTGGGGAGGAAGCTGATGATTCCGCTGACACCTGCGAAGAGGATGGGAGTCTCATGTCTCGCTTGGAGGGCATGCAAAGGGCACAGAGGGTGATTCGTCACCAGCTAGAAGACGCCTTTGGTTTTGGAGCCCCATCATCATTGGCATCAGCGGCGGCTGTGGACAAAATCAAGGCTGAACTGCAGAAAGAACGTGATGAAGCAGATGCGAGGCTTTCTGCGTTGAAGGAGTCATTCGTTGCTATTGTTCAACAGGCGTTGGATGAGTTGGAGTTGTTGCGAAGGGATCGTCTAGAGACTGAGGCACTGTGCGTGCGAATTCTCAGTTGACATGCCGCTCAGTGTAAGGTGTGGATGAGGGGTACTGTTTGTTGTGTTTATCGTTGTTATGTCCGTTATCACCAAAGGGTTCTTTACAGTTTATATGTCCGTGTGTGTTGCTGCCACCTTTTGGATGATACTGTGAAGGGAGAGAGATGACGCTAACTTCTATTATTATTTTTTCCTTTTGTACTGGTCTTTTTCCTTCTTGCTGGGCGTTTTCCCTCACGCAAGATCTTTGCGAAATGGATGAGAGCATCATTAAGGTGCCGTTTTATACTACGACCTCCGCATGGAGAATGCAGGCGCAGATGCAGGGTCTTCTTCGCAACCACCCAAGCCTCATAGCGGACAGTGGTCCCCTGGCAGCCCCTGGTACAGTCTTTACTACTGCGCGATTGTCGCTGCACAACAGTGAAAACGCACTAGCATTGGGTCTGAATCCTTTAGGTGCAGGTGGAAGCGTTGGGCTGATGTCCGTTGAGGGACCGGAGCCAACGCTTCAGGGAGCAACGCACATGCGATGGTTGGACATGCCACCAGATGTCTGCGTGAGCAGCATTGATTGGTGTGATGAGCACCTCCTTGTGGGCAGCACACGCGGTCGCATTTTACTTGTCAAGGCAGGCCTATATAGTGTGAATGAACGCAGTGGAATACTTGACCCCAGTGGGTGTTTGGTGTCTGGGGACACACAACCGGTAGTTGGGGACATCATTGTTGCACCAAGCAGTCATGCGGTGTCAACACTTGTGCGCAGTGTGCAGTGCAATGCCGAGGTGAAGTCCTCCAGTGTTGTCGCAGTGGTCGATAGTCGTGCGATGGTGTGGGATATAGAAGGCGGTGCGTCTCCTCTTTGGTCCTGGACTCCTGGCGTGAGCCCTGAGGCAAAGAATGGAAGTCAACACGATGTCTTGCTTTTTGCTAAATGGGCCCCACACAGCGACTCAGTGGTTCTCACAGGCAGTTATGATGGAAGTCTTCTCATAACAGACATACGGGCGAGTGAAAGTGGGATGAGAAGTTTATCGCTGCCAATGCGGCGTGGATTTATGGCTCGATGTGCGGATTTCAACACATTGCTGCCATTTGTAGTGGCGGCGGCATCATCCGATGGGACCATCACCGTATTTGATTGTAGATTTCCAGGCCACGCAGTGCGTACAATCTCATCGCTTCAAGGTGATGTTGCCTCTTTGCGTTGGCTACGACTCCACTCAGATATTCTGGCAACTGGCGGTATTGATGGCACAGTGGCAATGTGGAACTTGCGGTTTGCCCCGACATACTGTGTGGGGCGCGCTCAGTACAAGTACCCTGTCGTCGACCTCGCCGCCACTGTGTGTTCTGTAGAACAACGTCTATTTGGTCTGACAGCCGGCGGTGAGTTAACGCTGACGGGTCTGGCGTCTTCGGCGCTGTCAGGACTGGCGCCGTCAGTGACTAGTCGTGTACATCCGCCGTACACCGAAGAAGGCGCACCACATTTGCGGGAACAGGAACAACGAGGCGTGGGTCTCCTCTACGCACGGCGACTGCAGGAAGCGCATGAAGTTATCACCGACTGTGCCATGGAGCGATTCACACGTAAAGACACTGCCGTGGCCATGACACTCGTTAATCTCACGGACGTCATGGTGGTTCCCAAGTTTGACTATAAGGATATGATTGCGGGAAATACTGAGCGTCTTTTTGCTGTCGAGGAGACACCCCATACACAGGCCCTTGAAGTATTTAATGAGCTACTCGCCCGTTCAAGTGAACGACTCTGTATGACGTTGCCGCTGAGAAAAGTTCGTGATATTATTGAACCAAACCCTGAAGATCTCAAAAAGGTTGAGGCACTGCGGCTTAACTTATTGCTGCAACATGTTCTTCACACAGGTGACCCTGAAAAAGTTATTAGTGGCATACAACTCTTCTCTGCTAATGCTGGGAATCTTGATCTTGTGGACACGAATACTGCGTGCAGTATTGCCAGGATGCTGCTGAGAGAAAAAGAAAACTATATTGAGGGAGAGAAGTTTATGCGTGCCTTTTTGTCGCTCTTGATTCAGCAGGATGGCACTGTCTTGGCCCACACACTGGCGCGCCGACTTTTGATTGTGGTACAGGAACCGCTTACGACTGAGGGGCTTCCGCCGCGACAGGCGAAGCGGCATGAGGAGCGGTTTTTATATAACTTACTGGCAGCCCAGGAGGCGGTTCAGGTCCAGCTGGCAATCTTGGGTATGGGTATTGAGCGGTACCAGCAGGTTATTGCTACGGTGAATGGCTATCAAAAGTCTTGCTTAGAAAAAGGGGAGAGTGGCATTTTTGGTTGGCTGGGGATGAGGCCGATTCTTCTTTTTCTGCACTCTTTGACCGCAGATTCCAATTATGCCACCTTCTTTTGGGCCTGCGTGCAGTTAATGGAGGCATCCGCGAAGTGTCCAGGGTCACGGCAGGTGGAGTCTCTTCTTTTCAGCACCGTGGACCGCATCTGCCGCGCTGCGAAGCACATTCAGGAGCAATTACAGCAGGCCGCAAACACGCCGCATTTCACTCAGACAGCATTGCGGGAGGTGGGTGACATGATTCGTGGTGCGCTTGACTTTCTCGTCGTACTTCTTCGTGTTCACCTTGAGTGTGAAAATGTGGCGATTGAAAGCGGTATGTCGGAGATTCCGCCCGTCATGGCTCGCATCTTTGACATTCTTAGCACAGCTTCCTCTGACTTGCTGGAGGACTGGGCGACGCTGCTCGAGAAATTGAAGGGGTGTAAGATGCAGGATTTTGTGCGAAAGTGTTGCATCGGTGTGGTGCGGAACTTCTCCTTTCAAGTTGAGGAACTGATGAGGGTCTCCGTGAAGAAGGAAAATGATGAAACGCTGAATGAGATTCTCGATACCTGCTACGATTTTCTTGATACAGCCGTTAAGGGCGATGAGGACTGACCTTCCCTGCTTTACTGGTTGTGGTTTCTGTTGTTGTTGCGGACTGTGCGTGATTGCCTGCCTTTTTTGTTTTTGTGGCACCGTCGCGGGGGTGCATGCTGCCTGCGACACTCTTTTGGATGCGGGTGGTGGCGAAGCCGTGCACTATACAATCTCCGTATTTTTCTCTTCTTCTTCTTGCAGTCAACGGGCTTCTGTGGGCAGAGGGGGCGAGCAGCGAGGCAGCATTTCGAGGCACAAACCTGCCGGCTGTTGGACTCGTTGCGGATGTGGAGGCCGTTGCGCATATCTCTCGCCACATTTAGTTCCTATGCTTGTTTCTGCGCGTCAACGCCAACGTTGGCATCCTCGTCTACATTGGCAGGTGGTGCGGCAGGCCGTTGCTTCAGAGCTCCGGCGAGTGTTGGCAGTGACGCAAGGAATGCAAAGCAGCAGCAAGCAAATCCGTACAAGTCATGGGAGCACTTGAATCATAAGTGGCTTATTATGATGTGCATCGGCTGCCTCGCAGGGGGTCTTGCGGCCGGCCAGGTGGTGGACGTGGACGAGAATGCTCTGCGTCCCCCGTTTTCGAAGGAAGCTGTGCTTGCAGACATTGGAAAGACCTTCGAGTTTCGCCCCGATTTGGCTGCCACAAGCATCCGTGTGGCCTTTCTCCTTGCTGCTCGCCGTGCGGGGTTTGCCACAGACAACCTTGATGAGTCCTGTGCTGTCGTCAGCGGTCTGGACGACATCGCGGGTGTGCTGCGCCAGCTTGCGACTGTGCACGGGGTTTCGACGGAAGACGCCGCCTCGCTCGTGGCGGTGGCGGCTGTGAAGTTTTTGAAAGGGCCTTCTGAAACGATTGAGAGCAGCTGGCGGTGGGGGCGTAACGACACAGATGTCGCGGTCCCACGGAAGAAACGGCTTGCTGACAGTGAATCCGGCTGTATTGATGTCCCAACAATAATTGAGGGGCTCGGCGGTCTCACAGCGGAGGAGTGCGTTGCCCTTATGGCGTGCCACAGTGTAGGGGAATTCCACGAACACGTCAGCGGCATCGACGGCGTGTCGCACATTGGTAGCCAGTACAAACTGAGCCACGAGTATTACAAATTTCTTTTGGCCAATGAAAAGCGTTTCTTCGAGCTGGAGGTGCCTCGGACGGAGGAGAATAAGGCAATCCAGCGTCTTCCAAAGGACTTTGTCTGCGTGTACACACAGGTGGGAAAGAAGAATAAAAGGCGGCAATGTGTCTTTAACCGGCGCGAGGTGGAGGCCCTGCTACGCAACAAAACTTGGAGGAAGCTGACGGAGCAGTACGCGGCGGATGAGACGGCGTGGTCTGTGGCTTTTCAGTCTGCCTTTACAAAAATGATCGAGTGTCATTTTAAGCGCCTGCGAACGTACAACAGGTCCTCGGCGTAAATGGATTTGTAATGCGGTGGTGAAAAAAGGACATGGCAAACGCGACGCGAGAGGCGGTGGTGCGGCGGGCGCTTCCGGTGAAGAGGAAATATAGCGTGGCGTTGAACTGTGTAGACAGGAATGCACATACATACATACAAGGCAATACATATATTGTCAATGTGTGATGATCTGCATCTGCATCTGCGTTTGTTGCGTAACGTTGTGCATCAACAACTGATTATTATTATTGTTGCGCCTTGGCACATATACTCGAACTGTTCTTTCTTTTTTCCCCCGTTTTTTTTTTTTTTGCCTTTCAACCCCGCACAATGATTGCACGTTGTGTTGTTGTCTTTGTTTACGATTACTGTTTCACCATTATATTGAGATGCCTGGACGTGAGGTGCCCCCACGCACAGGCAGTGCGAAGGGGCGGTGTAAGCCCGCGGGTTCCCCTTATGGCGCAGCCTCGGCATCCACCCGACAGAAGATGGTCATTGCGAGGGCAGCACAGCCGAAGAAAGAAGAGCGAAGGCCACTGCAGCAGTCCGTTGCCATCACCCCTGCCTGTGAAATGTGTCTTAGTTTACTGCACTACTCCCAGAAGGTTCGCAACGCATTGGAGGCTGTGCTAGAGAACGCCAGAGTGGTGTTTCTCGACGACACATTGCATCACCAAATGAACGATGAACGGTGGGTACGGGTGCTGCGGGCAATTGGCGCAGAAAAATCGACGTACTATACGAGGGCGGTGGTTCTGAACAGAGCTCCCTTTAAGTCGGGCCATGAGTGATTGCGAATAGGCGCATAAGAAGAGAGAGTATCAATGTTTGTCTGAGTGTGCGTACCTAACCTGAGAGTTGGTTATAGAAAAGAGGTGTACATGGACATCTGGTTTTGTGCCGTCCGGCAGCTGCAGTGCACAGTCGTTGTGTGTACGTTTACCATTGCCAGCATTTTTGTTGCTGGGCCTACAATGCGGCTCGTTTTTTTTTGTTTTCTTGTTGTTGTTGTACTGCTATCGTCGGAGTTCTTTTTTATGCAACCTTTTTTTTTTATGACTATTATTTCAATGTGAATAACTGTGCGTGCGATAGCGTCAGTGAAAGAAAGAAATCAACGAATCCTTTCCTTTGGAAAACTCGCAGTGACAAATCCGAAGGTGCGAGCTTTCTCACTCTCTCCGTGTCCCACACAGGCGTCCAGAAGACAACGACGTCTACCTTGACTCGCAAAGATGCCCGAGGCTTATGTAGAGAAGACACAAAATGAGCTTGGCGCAATCATATCTGCGCCCAAGTTGACTGAGAAACTCCTTATGAGGCCCCCGTTTCGCTTTTTACACGATATTATCACAGGCTTTCTTGGCGTCACAGGGTTCCCGAAGGGGCTCTTCCCTGCCGAGATGCTTGACAGCGCCAACGTGGCGGATAAGGCGAAAAAGATTGAGTTCCTGACGCTACTTATTGCTGCCGTGAATGCAGGAACGGGGAGGAACCTAACGGTGCAGCCATCAAAGGTCGTTGCAGGGCAGGAGCCGGATAAGACCAACGAGCTGCTGCAGTCCCTTGCGGCATGCGCTGCGCTCACTGAGGAGCAAAAGATGGCTGCTGTGCGGGCGGCAAAAGGGGACGACGGGGAGCCTCCAGCGGCGACTAAGAAGGCTTCTGACAAGGGAACGGACGAAGCGGAGCAGGAAAAAGAAAGGGAGCTGGAGAAGAAGGCGGAGGAGCGGCGCAAGAGGAGGGAGGAGGAGAAAAGACGCGAAGAGGAGGAGAAGAAACGAGCCAAAGAGGAGGAAAAGGCCGCGGCAGCTGCGGCGGCTGAGGCGGCTGAGGCGGAGCGACAGCGACAAGAGGAGGCAAAGGCGCAGAGCAAGGCACGCAAAGTCGAAGAGTCACACGCCAGCAGGAGTGATGATAAGGAAGGCAAAAAAAGACATGGAGACGCGTTGGAGGAAAAGACACTGAAACCTGACGATGAGGAACGACGCAAGCGACGTGAAGAAAAGCGACGCCGTGAGAAGGAATTGGCGGAGCGGGAAGAATCTCTGGCGCCCCACGAGGGTTCAACGTCTATCTTAAACCTTGGACGCCCCGAACACCACACTTCTAGTGCGTCGACTAATGTCACTACTGCTTCCGCCGCAAATACAATTGCTACCCCGTTCGCAACAGGAAAGGCTCCACCGCGCACCAAACCAACGCACGAAGTTGTGGAGGGCTCCCAGATGAGTGCTGCCCCCATCCCCGCTGTTATTCGTGAGAGCAAACGCACTTCCAGCTCCGTGGCGCAGGAACCGGAGGATGAAAATGAGTGGAAGCGGATCGCCGACATGCAGGAGGCAAAACCGGTTACAAGTGGCAGTGGCAGTGGTGGAGGAGGTGCCAACGAGGCAGAGGCGAAAGGCTACTTGGGGCAACAAGCGTTGAAGGCAAAACGGGAACAGGAAGAGGAGGCTGCACGTCGGGCGCAGGAGACGCACGCGCGTGCGCTTCAAGGTGGGGGCAGTGGCGGTGGGATCATTATCCACACCACAAAGAGCGGTAAGTCTGGCACGGCAATGGCTGAGAGTGAACTCAGCAAGCTGAGAGAGCAACTGCAACTGCTGACGAAGGCCTCCAACCCTCTGGGCAAATTATTAGAGTCCATCTATGACGATATAGACACCATGGCGAGGGAGCTGGAGATGTGGCGCTCGGAGGCGCGAAGCCAGGCACTAGCCGCGGCGGACGCTCGGCGACAGACGATGGAGAGTCTACAGGAGGTACACGCCCAACTTCAGAACTTGGAGGACGCCATCAACGATCAAGTTCTTAAGACACACAATATTCGTCGTAGTGTCATTAACAATGACAATGCCATTGCAGGAATGGTCCGCATGATTGTTGGCCCTAATCTTGGAAAGGCTTAGGGGGGCTATTTTAGTGGGCTCATGTAGAAAAAGGAGATATATATGAAAATGGAAATATGTGGGACAGAGATTGGAGGGGAAGTACCCAAATCTGAGGGAGAAGAAGAATAAAAATATAAAAACGGAACTCAACGTTTCCATTGGTCTGTGTTACATGCTGTGTGTTTTTTTTTTATTTTTGTTATTGTTGTTTTTCTCGTGAAGTATTTCCTCCTTCTCCCTCTCCCTTTCTTTCTCTGTCTGCGTGGATTTCCCCAACACAAGCTTTGCTTACGTTGTCACCTCTGACATCCGCCTCTCCCACTCCTACTTTTATGTGCCTCACGTGCCGCATCCCCCCACCCACCCCACCCCCTGCTCCGTTCCTCTGACTTTGGACCCACAGAGGGAAGGAGGGGACGGTGCCCCTGCCACTCCTTTTGTTTGAATTTTTCAAAGTTTTTTTTTTAAATTTTTGCCTTGGCATGCATGAGCTCTGTCTAGTTGTCGGCCTGCACGTGGGTGTTGCAGCAGCGCATCGTACCGGTAGCACTGATGGGGAGGGCACAATCAAAGTCAAAGGGGTGGACACGCGAGGAAACGGAGTGTGAAATATACATATACATATGAGGTAAAGTGTAAGAGACACCCATTTTATTTATGATTTCTTTGTGCGTGTGTGTTTGGTTGTACTCTTTGTTTTTGTTTTGTTTTGTGGATCGTTGTGTCTGTTTGTTACCGTTCACCATTGCCCACACGTACAGTAGCGCCCCGCACACATTACACACGCACCTCAGTCGTGAAACGGGAGCGGCGTTAGGTTTCAGATGGAGAACTACGTCCCAATACGGGTGTTGGGCAAAGGAAGTTTTGGCTCGGCCTGGCTCGTGCAACGGCGCAGTGATCGGGTACAGTTTGTTGCGAAGGAGGTGCGCCTTCTTGGGATGAAACCTGGGGAGCGGGAAAGTGCAAAACACGAGATTGACGTCCTGCGCACCCTCAATCACCCCAACATCACCCGCTACGTGGACCACTACGAGCGAAACGGTTCGCTTTATATTGTGATGGAGTACGCCAACGGTGGCGATTTGTATACCAAAATT